ATCTACAGCTTTGCCAGGCTCCCGCTTGCATCTGCTCGGCATCTACCGGACATTTCTTCACCGGAATGACTTTATCTCTCCTCAGCAGTAATTCCATAGACTTTATACTGTGATAAAATTAAATATTTTTTTTTATATATATATATATATTTAGCTTCACAAAAGTTATAATTAAATACAGTCACCTTACTCCGTTCTGGCATTAAAAGCACAGGCTACTCTAAATACAGAAGTAGTGCATTCTCAGAACTTGTCACTTTGGGCCTTACCTGAGGGATTATTTTTTAATAGCTTTACAGTTTATATGTCGTGAATTTGTCTGGATTTAAATATTGATATGAAACATCAAATATTTAGAGTCAGCAATTATAAAAATAGACTAGATCATCCTTTAGAAAAACAAAGGGATTTTAAAATATTTAAACATATTTAAAACTAAATAAATTTTCAGTATCTTTTAAATAATTAAACAAATTCAATGGTAAATGCTGAGATGAGTCAACACCTCTGCCTCTGTATGCATGCTCAGAAACCCGCTAAAGGTAAAGTCGGACAACGCATAGTCCTCAATGGAATCCCAATTCCCATTTATACGGTGATTTCTATTTATTTTCAAACCTCTGGGCACTTACCGAGTTGAGAAAACACGCCGTGCCACAAGCAAGCACGATGTCCTCTCACAAGCATAGCTTATTTAACTTTTCCGATATCGCTTAACAAAAGCTGCTCAGAAATTCACAGAATCACAGAATTTCAGAGCTGGAAGGGACCTCTAGAGCTCACCCAGCCCCACTCCCCTGCTAAAGCAGGACTGCCCAGAGCACATCACTCAGGACTGCATCCAGGCGGGTCTTGAAAATCTCCAGAGAAGGGACTCCACCCCCTCCCTGGGCAGTCTGTGCCACTGCTCTGTCACCCCAACCGTAAAGAAGTTCTTCCGTGTGTTGGAACGGAACTTCCTCTGTTCCAACTCGAGCTCATTGCCCCTCGTCCTGTCACTGGGAACCACCAAGAAGAGTCTGGCTCCATCCTCCTTCAACCCCCCCTTTAGATATTTGTATGCCATAATAAGGTCTCCCCTCAGCCTTCTCTTCTCCAGGCTAAAGAGTCCCAGCGCTCTCAGCCTTTCCTCGTAAGGGAGATGCTCCAATCCCTCAATCATCTTGGTTGCCCTTCACTGGACTCTGTCCAGCAGTTCCCTGTACCTCCTGAACTGGGGAGCCCAAAACTGGACGCAGTATTCCAGTTGTGGCCTCACCAGTGCCGAGTAGAGGGGGAGAATGACCTCCCTCGACCTACTGGACACACTCTACCCTATGCAGCCCAGGATTCCACATTCAAGATATTCTTCTGCCTGTGAAGTGAAATTCTTCCTCATTCTCACAATCTCATCTATAAACCTTGTGCATCCAAGCAATGAGGGATGAAACTGCAAAACTTTCCGACCAACCTTAATGAGATGTTTTCTGCAAATTCCAGTGAGAAAAATGTATTTTATTTTTTTTTTCACGCCGATATGCTGGCATAGAAATAAGATTTGGCTACATTTTTTACTTGCGTGCTAAAAGCAAACGACAGCACCGGTAATGTCCAGGGGAATCTATGGTCGCCGGCGACACGTAGATAAAAAACAGGAAAAAGACTTCCAAAGTTTAGTGTCAGCTTTTTGCTGCCGTTGTCCTCTCGCACTGCGGATACGTTTTTGCTCGTCTGGCTCATTTTCTCACGTGATAACACGCGGTTCAAGGAAAAAGAATCTTTTTTCCAAACAGGAAACAGAGAAAAGTTGACCGATTTCCTCTCTGTTTCGCCCTGTTCTTACGGCGAGGGCTTATCTGTGAAGTACGGGGACAGTATGTTTTCAGCGCAAGGGATTTCTGCAGACTTAATAAATATCCCGCGCCTCGTGGGAGGATGTTGGATGATTAAACTGTCACTACGTCGAATACAGCAGCAGTCTCCGTGTAAGGTCAGCACGTGCTGACTGGTTTTCCTTGCCAGGCTAACGGTATTTCAACAGACCCTTTTATTTTTTCCATCTTGCTGTTCGTAAAGGCCCAAGCCATTTCGTGGATTCATTTATTGAAAGGATTAAAGCTCATTGGGAATTTAGCGTTTTCTTATGGAATACTTTAAAACCAAACCTTGTTTCCTTAAGGGAAAACGGTTTGTTTTGAAAAAAATCTACAAATTTTCTTTTTTTAAAAAAAATGAATTTACTGAATTTACTGAAACAATCTCAGTAGTTTAGTAACATGAACAAATGCATAAAGTTAAGCTCAAAACAATGTTTTAAATAACGGAAAATAGGTGATCGGTGTAAAATGTTTTGTAGCGGGCTTCTCGCTGTGGACGCGCCGGAGTCTGCATCTCAGCCAGTGTTAGTGTGATGCCGGGGAAACAAAAATACTGAAAACTGATGGAAACCCATTTCATACCTGTCGTTCTTCGGAATAGTCTCTTTTGCAGGCTCTGACCGTGCACGGGCAGAGTATTTTAAAAGTAAATTGAGCTGCGGGGTTTGCACCTGACTCAAGGATCGCACGGCGATCCGTTCCACGTTCCTCTTTGGCAACAGCAAAATTTTGAGACAGACCATGTAAAACCAGAATTTATAAAAGTATTCTGAGCTTTTCCTACAGCTGAGTTCCACATCGTTATTGTTTATAACATTCTTCTTCCCTACAATATTCACAATTTCATTCCGGTAATATTTAAATGCTCCAAACTTTGACCCCAGTGACGGTAGAACAGGTATTTGGTCTGAAGAGAGGCTACAATTTGTTCTTGGAAAAGGTTACTATTAAACATTTAATTAGATGTATTGATCACTCTACTTGTCTTTCTTTCAGCGTTAGTCTTTGGTGTGAAAATTGTCATGCATAACCCACAAAAACTAAAAGCCAACTGATAACCTCAGCAGACCATGTGCAAAGAGAATACGTGGCAAAAGAATGCTTGATAATTGTTCTTCTATTAAATGTTGTTCGATTAATGAGAAAACATACAATTTCTGACGAATTCAAAAGCCTCAGCGAAAGCCCTCATTCTCTTGTACTTATTGATTAAAAATGGTGAATGTGTAACCTGTAGGATCCTGTTAGCTGAGCGTAATTATACGGGTCATAAAGAAGCCCGCATAATTTATCTACTTTTGTGAACACCGGTTACAGAATAAGCAGCTAAAAGCTCAAAAAGTGGAGTGCAGTGAAGAAATGCAGTAACTCTACAGCCCAAGCGGGTCAGCCAAGTCGAGAAGTCACCACACGTGAGGTACTGACGCATCTTGAGACGCGAACGACCCCTTCGCTGCCTTCTAAAATTCTCCTGAAGTTAAGGAGTACAAGCAGCGCACAGGCACAGTGTCAGCCCGCACAAGCGCCGTGTCAAAGAATCATGTCATTTTTCCCGTTGAAATGTTTAATAAGGGTGAATAGCAGTTCTGTTTTACACGGGGATAGCCCTCTGGAAAAAGAACAAAATTAAATTAGTAGTGGGACTGCATTTCATCAGCGCATACTAATAGCCTGCAGTTGTCATACAAGCTTCCCCGTTCACATTGGAGAAGTAACCAATTATACACATCGCTATCTCGAGCTGTGAAATTTTAATTCATGCCCCCAAAAGATTAGAATATCAATTACAAATGCCGGGCAAGTGAAAAAGAGAAGTGTGAAGCCGATCCCCACAAATAACACGGTTCAATTGCTTTTTCCTTCTTTAAGTTCAATCTCATTGTGGAAAAAGCTTCTTTTTTTTTTTTCTTCACCCCATTTTTTATATATGTATTATGCATTCTGTTGCCACCTCTACACGAGTGTAAACGCAGCATCCCGAGCCACACGCGTAGCAATAACGACACAAAAGCCAAAGGCTGAGCGTAAATACTCCCATATACCTCCGCTATAGTCATTCTCATAGCACTGACAGGGCAGGGCTCAATGTCCACCAGCTGAACTGCATTAAAACTCTGGAGGCGGAGAACGCACCAGGAGGAAAACACACAGCAGCAAAGGTTAGAAAAGCAGAGCAAAAGAGAGTTAGAAAGATTCTGGTCACTGTATTAAGAACAACCTCAAACTTTCCCCAAAGAACTGACTCTCTACAAAGGAGATGGAAGAAAAATCGAATTCAGAGTTTGTTAAAATGGAAAGACAAAGGGAAACTGTGTTAGAGATGTCAGCACTTCTGGAAAAATCACCCTTAGATATCAATTAACGGGGTTCTTGAATTTAATCACCTGAACGGGAGATCAAGACATTTCTGTCCAAGTCCATTTATGAATGAATTCAAATAATAAAAAGCTGCATAAGGTGAATTTTTTAAAAAAATCTAGACTTAAACTGTTAATTCTTAAAATACCATTAGCAGCATCGGTGGGACACCAACAACCTACTTTTCTTGAAATGCTGTTTGGAAACGTATTTACACACTACGATTTACTCAATTTTAATGTCATTAATGATTGCTTTGGAAGCAACATGGGTATCAAAAGAATATTTCCTGTGATTATTTTGGAATGCAATGTTTTAACAGTGTTCTTTCTAAATGGATAACTTCTTATATGTATGTATAAATATTCATTGAGCAATTTAGAGGTACCCGGACACTTTATTCGGCATAGCATCACCCACGTTGTAGCCCAGTATTAGTGAATCTTAGGAGAATCTCACCAGCACGATAAAAAGCAAACAAAATGTAGTAAGAATTGCACGGAAAGCAGAGAAACACGGGACCGCTAGTCACAATCTGGAAGTCAAAAAAAGATTCCATTCTTCTGCGGATGACGGTGAACCTGTTTGATGCTTTTGTTACGATCACCCACCTACTGCAAGCAGAGCTGGTGCAATCAGGCCCCTTTCCCTTTCTTTTCCAAAAATACAGCACGAGGTTAAACCCGCCTGGGATACCAGGGAAGGCTATTCTCTTACCCATTTATAACGACATTCTTAAAAATAGAGCAAGGAGAAATAAATCAAGGAATTCAGCGGGGTTCTTACAGTGTCACTGTCACTCGGTTGGAACTGGAAAGGCTGCGGTTTGTGAAACACGGAGTTCTCCTGTAAAAACAGCTGTAGATTGTAATCCCGCACCACCTGAGAAAATAACAAAGGCCATTTAGAGCTCTTATTTTGTAAACTTAAAAACATGCTACATAGCAAAATTAGAAGACTACTTCAAACAGAGACCAAATCCACAGCAGAACCTTAAAGGCAACAAAAGGAAACAGAGGAGGTGATTCAGGGCGGTGTAACACACTGGTAGGACACACACAGGATGACAAAGAGCTAAAAAATATCTGCCATTAACCAACAGAAGATCCCACAAAGGCAAAATGGGGGAAAAAAGCACCAACTATCAAATATACGGTATGTGGTGTCACACCATAAATATTTTTCTCTCCTCTTGCGGATAATTTCTTGTGCACGGTTCTTACTTAAGCTGAAATGTCTTCTTTTTACACAAATTATTAGTTGCAGGAGCTGAAAAGACTATTTGGAAGAACGCATACAAAATCAGTTGCAAAATTAATCTCTTTATATCAAATTGCTTTCAGAGAAAACTCTCATAGTTTCCATTTTGCTAAACCAAAACTACTTCAGCTCCTAAATTTGTTTAATTATACATTTCACATAGCATGACACATAGCCCTAAACAAATCCCGTATGTCACAATTTACACATATTTATAAAGAAAAACTCAGTGATTGCAATGGGAAAAAATAGTATCTCTGGTTGAAGAACTCTACAGAGTATTCACTGCTTCAATTGATGAAAAAGCGTAAATAGCAGCATGAAATTATAAAAATCTACTACCAAACTGAGGGTTTAAATGCACAGAAGTGTATAATAAAGATGGTATTTACCCAGAAATAGCAGCAGTATTGTATATGACTGAGAATTGTGATTACACTGTATGTACAATGGTAAATACATGTTCTCTAATGCATCAACATGTTGATGCTTGTGTTACCGAAATACTGAACTGTAAAAAATTAATCTTCAGTTGAAGAAAGTAAATAGTCCTCCAGGGCCAATAATGCACTCATTTAAAACAGTAAAGTACATAATTACTGCACCAATCTCAGCAGTTGAATATAAACACATTCAAATGTGTAGAAAACATACAGAGAAGACATACGGGGAGTCTGGTGGAGGAATTCCCATAAATAGAGATTTGGGAAATTGTAGAACGGGTTGGGTTGGAAGGGACCTTAAAGATCATCCAGTTCCACCCCCCTGCCCTGGGCAGGGACTCCTCCCACCAGACCAGGTTGCTCCAAGCCCCGTCCAACCGGGCCTTGAACACCTCCAGGGATGGGGCAGCCACAGCTTCTCGGGGCAACCTGCCCCAGGGGCTCACCACCCGCACAGCCAACAATTTCTTCCTAATATCTCATCTCAATCTCCCCTCTTCCAGTTTGAAGACATTCCCCCTCATCCCATCACTACATGCCCCTGTAAAAGTCCTTCCCCAGCCTTCTTGTAGGCCCCCTTCGGGCACTGGAAGGCCGCAATAAGGTCTCCCCTTTTTGGCCTTCTCTTCTCCAGGCTGAACGCCCCCACCTCGCCCAGCCTGTCCTCCCAGCAGAGGGGCTCCAGCCCTCCCAGCAGCTCCGGGGCCTCCTCTGGCCCCGCTCCACCAGGTCCATGTCTCTCCTGTGCTGAGGCCCCCGAGCTGGAGGCAGCACTGCAGGGGGGTCTCCCCAGAGCAGAGCGCAGCAGAGGGGCACAATCCCCCCTCGCCCTGCTGGCCACGCTGCTGGGGATGCAGCCCAGGATGCCGGGGGCTCGCTGGGCTGCCAGCGCACATTGCTGGGTCAATGTTGAGCTGCACATCCACCAACACCCCCACGTCCTTCTCCTCAGCACTGCTCTCCATCCATTCTCCCATACTACAGGAGGAATCACCCACAGCTTCAGACGATGCCCAGCACTGACCACGGCATCGTGACATCTTCTGGTAAACAGCTCTGGTCTCCGTAGACCTTGAGACACACGGGATCATGGACTGCAGCACTCACCTCTGTGCCACTCCAAATACAGGTAATTATTTCAAACGAACTTCAATTAGGAAAAAAACCCAAAGCATAGTTACTGAGGACATGAAAACCTTTACAGTTATTTTAATGCAATAATCTTCCACTGTAGACTGCTAACTCAAACCCAACTCAATTCTTCAAAGCAGAAACCCCATCTTTACAACAGCTCTCAGAAGAAAATTTCCCTCAAAACAACAATATTTAGTTATAAATGAGAACAACCGTTGAGAGTGTGCAAGTCTAGCAAATTAACACCCGGGAGCATTTCGCACAATGTATGTGACAATAGTTAAAAAGAAAATGAAAAGACTCCGAAGCAACACAGCTCAGGATAAAGCCGCAACTTTTCCGAATGGATTTCCTGCTATTCAGAAATTAAGTCAATGTTCTCAGGCAGTTTCTTTATGAAGTCAATGTCAATTGACATGTTAAAATAGACCTGAAATCAACTGTTAAATACATACCGTGTGCAAAAAGAAGGCATAGTCAGAAAGGTGCATAAATGAAATTATTCGCCCTAGGTTGGTGAAGCTTCTTACCAGAAACATCACAGAAATGTTATTCAAAACAGCAAATGGAATTTCAGAAAATGTTCCAAAGAAAATCGTTTTTTTTTTTTCCAAAAGAGAACTGCAAGAAGTACGAGTCTTGAATAAAACCGTTCAATTGAAAAGGAAGTTAAATCGCATTTTCATATGCCCAGCGTCAAAGGGTAACACTTCTTGCCAGAGGAACGCCGTGGGTCACCCCAACCTAGCGGTAATAAAACCTCCAAGCCTGTGACAAACGATGCTACGATAAACTATGAAAAACCTTCATTTTATTCAGAAAAACTTGTTTGGGAGAGGTTTCCCTCCATCTGCATTAGCACTGGGTGACCGACCACGTCCCGTGCAGCGGAACACACCACCGCCCTGCGCGCCTGGAGCGGTCCCCACCGGCTCTCCCGCTCTCGGGAGGAAAGAAGGCACTTCTGGGGAGCAACTTGTCTCCTTCAAAAGTAAATATAGTTGAATTCCACCTCGGCAACAGAAATATAGCTCAGATGAAAATACTAAAGCGTTCCGACCAATGGTCCGAAGTGGCTTTTCTAGAGGTAGCTCAGCAAGCTTCTGATCTTAAAACTAACAAAGAACAGGTGAAGTATCAAAAAAACCCCACAATAAATATTTAAATCTTCGCTTTGATGGCAAGCTGGGTTTTATTGCAAATTACTAAATTGCTAACAAATTTGTTACACGCTTAATACTCGAGCTGCTTTTGATACGGAGTTTCTACTCCGGATTCACCTCTCCTGTTTGAGCCGATTCCTGCAACGTAGACCTGCAGGAAAAGCTTAAAATTTAAATGAAAAGATGAGCAAAGCCTCCATCCGTGGAATAAGCCACCGATTGATGTGTTTAGTCTTTCAGAGCGAGACACAGGTTTTCAGAAGTAACGTAACACAATTTTTTCTCCTCTGCATTCTTGAACGGCGAGAAAATTGGTGCTGCTGAGCTACAAACCAGTTGTAAAAATCCTGTTCGGACCCGACAGCTGTATTTACAGTTTCGTTCCTTCTCCAGGCGTTGTGCTAACTTAGTAAAGCAGAAGGAGAACTGTTTTCCTCCGTACAGCACGACGTTGTTACTGTACAAAGCAAGCTGCGGGCTTCAGCGGCTTGCTCCCACGAGCTATCGCAAGCTCCGCGCGCACAAACCTACAACGAAGTTATTCCTCCGCAAACGAGCTGTTTGCAAAGGAGAGTTCAGTCAGATGAGAGTCTCAGCCAGGTAACGCTCCTGATATTCCCATCACAAAGCACCGCATAGACTATTGAGAAATTAATCACGAATATGTAGCCTTTATATATAAGCATATTTGGTTAAAAGATTCCAAACCAGCCTTTTGGGGGAGGATATTTTAAGCCGACCTGAATGACATACTCTAAGGTAAATTATTGAAAGTCCCTTCCCAACAGAAGATAAAATGGTATTTTCATTATCTTTACAGTTGCTGCCAAGTAAATTTAAAGACAAGCTAGCGTGAAGCCAATTTTTAATCCACTCTCTTTCTACCTAATCAGGTGGGAGTTAGCATGCTTGCAGGTGAATCAGGAACCTGTTAAATACGCTGTTTCTACGTAAGTCCCAGCGTAAAGGAGCTCTGGTTTTGTGCGGGTGGTTAAGGTATACATACAAAGGAATATAATGACGGCACCAAAGCAGCTCGTTTGAGCTCAATGGCAATTATTTATTATTTTTTTTTAGCCCAGCAGATGAATTATTTAAGTATCAAGATTATCCTGGAAGCAATCACGTATTCCCAATTCTGGCTGCTTGACAAAGCAAACAAACCACGGCTATGACAAGACTCTAATCTGTTTTCTCTGTTTGTCATTCTTAATTCAAGGGAGAAAACACCGTAATATTTTGGTTTTTAAGTTGACAGTCAATTATTAAGAAATGATCCAAACACAGGGTTTTATCGCGACGGATGACTAATGCGGTTCCACATTACCCAGTGCAGAACTCAGCTGCAATTTCTCTTTTCAAACGTGCAGAGTGAGCGTAAGCGAACATCCCTTGATTGCTCTTCTCCAAAGACCTGGTACTGTGTAAGTGTACTCATGAGAACGCAATCTGGGTGGCAACAGGAAAAATTCTCCCCAAGAAAACCGTCCGCTTTCTTTTAACTTAATACCACACAGGAATAACCAAAAATAATAACCATTCGGTTTTGTCATTCTTTTGGAAGCAAACCTTAAGCCTGGGAACTTCTATATGCCGTAGGTATTCCGTTACAAAGGTTCGTTCAGTTCAAACTTACCCTGCTGGAAGTCTCCAGTAAAAACTGGAATGTGTTTTGTACAGCTTGGCACGTCTCTAGTTCAGTCCTGCTGAATGCCATTAAATAATCCTTAAGGTGATCATATACATTTCCATCAAGAGCCTGTAGGAGGGAAAGAATTGGAGAAAATTAAGAAAGAAATTAAGAAAAGCCATATGTACTTGGCAATATGATTTACTAATAGTCGCCTTTTGATTTTTAAGATGCTCATCTAATTTCTTTAGCCGGGATAGCGACAGGTGGACATCTTTCATTTTTGACCAGGAGGAATGCCAGGGCTTGATTTCCATTAGATGGCACCACAGAGCACCGTAACGATATCGCGTTATAATAACCGATTTCCATCCAGTTGTGTAATACAGCCACAGCAGAACAGTGAGGTCAGGTTTGGACAAGGGGATACGCTCAGGGAGATGTCATTTATGTCAGGAGAGGGACCGGGTAACTGCAAGGACGTGGGGCTTCGACCAGCCTCAAGTCACTGGACCACACTCCAAATGACACTACCAAGGCACTCAACATCTGTACGCGTCAGAAACACACCTATTTGCTTATTAAAACCTGCTAATCAATACCGCCCAGTTTACATAAGCACAAGGCAGCCCTTCTGCGCACAGAAATACCAAACAAAAACGTATGTACGACACCAAAGTTCAAACTCAAAAGCCCTGTTGCAACCGGAGCCGTAATATCGCATCGCACGGCCGAGGTCACACGTAGGTTTAATGCAAGTTCTGTATTAAACACGTATGACTTTGGAAGTGACTGACAATTTCGTTTAAATTTCACAGATATTCATTTAAATAGTATACACCAAATTTCACAGATAATCACTGAAATAGTATATTCACTGAAATAGCGTAGTGCAGATCTCAACTGATTCAGGAGTACATTTCTGTATAAAATCGCATTTGATTATTAGAATAATTTTGAAAGTTCAGGGGGAGAGAAAAAAGGTGAAATTGTGCAAGCCTTAAGAAATAGTTTTTGCCCCAACAAAACTGAGCCCAACACTTAAGACGAGGCCAACAGACAAATGTAGAGCAGACACAAATCACTCAGCACTGAGGACGAACAGTTCTGAGCAGAAGAGGTTTTCCTTCTGCAAGAAAAGCTTCACCCACCATGAGCGCACAGCTCCAGCGACCACAGAGGAAATTCAAACTTAACATACAGACATAGAATCATAGAATCGCTGAGGTTGGACGGGACCTTTAAGATCATCAAGTCCAACCATCAACCTACCCTGACAAAACCACTTCTAAACCATGTCCCTCAGCACCACATCTACCCTTTTTTTAAACACCTCCAGGGATGGCGAATCCACCGCCTCCCTGGGCAGCCTCTTCCAATGTCTAATAACCGTTTCAGTGAAAAAATGTTTCCTCATATCCAATCTTGACATAACTCGAACCCGTTTCCTCTTGTCCTATCAACTGTCACCAGGGAGGTCAGCCCCCACCTCTCTACCCCCTCCTTCCAAGTAGTTGTAGAGGGTGAGAAGGTCTCCCCTCAGCCTCCTCTTCTCCGGGCTGAACACCCCCGGGTCCCTCAGCTGCTTCTCATCAGACGTGTGCTCCAGACCCCTCACCAGCTTCGTTGCCCTTCTCTGGACACACTCCAACAACCTTCTTGGCCACCTGGGCACACTGCTGGCTCATATTCAGCTGACTGTCCACCAACACCCCCAGGTCCTTTTCTGCCGACAGCTTTCCTCAGTGAAGGATGCCTTCAGGTAAACAATATAATTGTGCTACTGGAATTCTCCTATCTGAAATTTTATATCCAAAATCCATTTTATACCACACTGCTGAGGGGAGACTTCATCACTCTCTACAACTATTTGAAAGGACACTGTAGAGGTTGGTGCTGGTCTCTTCTCACAGGTAATTAATGACAGAACAAGAGGGAATGGCTTCAAGCTCCAACAGGGGAGATTTAGACTGAACCTTAGGAAAGGATTTTTC